CTCACGGACTGTGAGATCACGACTGAGCTGAAGTCGGATGCTTAACCAACTGAGCCACCCAAGCACCCCTAAATAAACATTTTTTTTTAATTTTAAACATTTAGTTTTTAAAAAAATTATCAAAACAAAACATGCACATAAGTTTTTAAAAAGCAAATACTACAGGAACCATATAGTGAAAAGCAATCATTCTGTGTTTGATTGTCCACCGATTCCCTAACCCAGAGGCAAATTCTTTCACATATATCTGCTTTGGTTCTTCTGGTGGTTACTTCCATTTCTCTTAATATACTCTTCCTACTATTTCTTGATATAATACCTTGAATACCTTGATTTTTTTTAAGTTTATTTATTTATTTTGAGTGGAGGGAGGAGCAGAGAGAGAGGAAGAGAGAAAAAGAATTCCAAGCAGGCTCAGCACTGTCAGCAACACAAGCACAACACGGGGCTTGAATTCACAAACTGTGAGATCATGACCTGAGCTAAAATCAAGAGTCAGATGTTTACCTGACTGAGCCATCCAGGCACTCCCCTTGATATATTTTTTATTAGTTTCCTGCTACTCTTCCCTGCTCACCTTCACCTTCTATATCATCATATCACTATGTGTAGTTCCTCTACTAGCTACTTTTGTGATAGAATACTCAAGAGTTCTATTTCAAATATAGATATTATCCTTTGAATTTCTCCTGTATGGGAATAATAGGACTTCTACCATTCTATTTATATTCCCTTCCTATCCCTTGCCATCTTCTGTCATTAACTTCTACATGGTAAAGGTGGATAACATTTATAATCTATTCTGTAACCGTAAATAGGTCTTCCCTGCTTGTAAATTGATTTCAGAGTTGAAAACTAAAAGAGCATTTCTATTGCAATCATTGATTTTTTTTTAATTTCTTTATTTTGAGAGAGAGCATGCATGCACATAAGTGGACGAGGGGCAAAGAGAGGGAGAGAGAGAAAATCCCAAGCTGGCTCTGCACTGTCAATGCAGCGCCCAACACAGGGGTTGAACTCATGAACCACTAGGTCATGACCCGAGCAGAAATCGAGTCAGACCCTTAACTGGCTGAGCCACCCAGATGCCCTTATAATTATTGATTATTTTAATATTGTTTAATTTAATACTAAAGAGTCAAGATAAATTCCTAATTTATGTCTCCAAAGTCTCAACCCAAGTACCACTCGGTAGGACAACGTACAAAATGGGTTCTCTTACATTCCCAGCAATTATTAGAAATCAGGCCATATTTTGGGTTGCTTCATGCTTAGAATATGCCTTTCCTATACTGTTGAATGTTTGTTTGTTTGTTTTGCCTTGGGGTTTTTTATAATCTTTATTTTCTTATGAGACGAAGAATTACATGCATTCCATGCAATATCCTTAATATCATCCAGCTTCTTACTCATCCCATCTACTGCTTAGAATCCATTCCATTTTACTTTACATCAATGTATTTCCTATTTTAGGTTGAATTCATTTAGAGCATGGGTTTCTTGTGCAATTTTTTTTCTGAGTACTTTAAATTACCTTTCCTTTCTCTAAAAAAATTGCATTAGAGTGCGTTCTTAGTAAAATAGGCAGCACGTCAGTCTCATAAAAAATGCACTGTGTGCTCTTTGCCATATCCTAAAGTTTGTACTATTTCTGGTTTTGGATTCAGTAGGTTCTTTAACTTTTCTGAATTTTGTGTTTACATAGTTTCTGTTCTCTGAATTACCTACTTCCTCAGGAGTCAGTTTATTCAGGTTTTTTTTTTTGTTCTTCTTGTTTATACTGCAGGCTTACTGCAAATGTCAGGCGAGGTAGCTGTTTCAGCTTAAGAGCGCAGCAATTAAAAGTTTGACAAAGCCTCTGTAAGGAAAACCTTACTCTTCCTCCTGTGGATCTCCTTTATTCTCGCACTACTACCACACTCAAAACACTCTGACACCAGATATGTGGGGGTTTGTCCCCCCACGAAGCCATTCTCTGTGACACCAGCTGGGTGTCCAAGAACTTAATTCTGATACTATCCACCTGGAGATAGCGTCAGATCCTACAGGTTAAGGGTTTTGTCCTACAGAACTGCCCCCACTTCAGTTGCCAATCACTAATCCAGTTTGTAATCTGTTCTTCTGACCCAACTTGCTATATATCAGAGGTTCCCACTTCTGATAGGAATGTAATTGGGCTCAGTCAATTTGCTAGAGTGGCTCAAAGAACTTAGGAAAACAGTGTACTAACTAGATTACTGGTTTATTGTAAGAGGATAGAACTCAGGAACAGCCAGATGAAAGAGATGTGCAGGACAAGGTATGTGGGAAAGAGCATAGAGCTTATGTTGCTCTCTCTCAGCACACTACTCTCCCTGAAACACCCCATGTTCCTCAACCCAGATGCTTCCTGAACCCCATACTTGGGGGATGTTTATGGAGGCTTCGTCACATAGGGATGCTCAATCATTAACTCAATTTCCAGCCCCTTTCTGGAATGGGTTGTGGGGTTAAAAGTTCTAAGCTTCTAATCATGGGCCAAAAGCCCACGAAGACCCAAAGATATTCCTATCAAAAGACACCCAGGAAATCCCAAGGGATTTAGGAGCTCAGTAGAACAAAGGTGTTTCTAGTGCTCTTATTAGGAAATTACAAGGGTTTTAGGAGCTCTGTGCCAGGAACTAGGGGCAGAGACCAATAAATATACGGGCAGTCCCTGAGTTAACAATTATTTGCCTTTTCATGACTTTTCAATTTTACATTGGTAAAAAGCAGTACACATTCAGTAGAAACTGTATTTCAAATTCTAAATTTTGGGGGTGCCTGCATGGTTCAGTTTGTTAAGCATCTGACTCTTGGTCTCAGCTCAGGTAATGATCTCACTGTTCATGAGTTTGAGTCCTGCATCAGGCTCTCTGCTGTCAGCGCAGAGCCCACTTCGGATCTTCTGTGACCTTCTCTCTCTGTCCCTTCCCTACCTGCATGTGCTCTCTCTCTCTCTCTCTCAAAAATGAACATTTAAAAAAAGTAATAAAAAACAAATTCTAAATGTTGATCTTTTCCTGGGCTAGCAATCTCCCTCTCTCTCTGTCCCTTCCCCACTTGTGCATGCTCTCTCCCCTTCTCAAAAATAAATAAACATTTTTTTAAAATTAAAAAAGAAATTTTAAGTTCTTATCTTTTCCTGGACTAGCAATATGCGGTGTGATACTCTTGTGATGCTGAACAGCAGCACGAAGCCACAGCTCCTGGTCAGCCATCCAGTCATGAGGGTGAACAACCAGTTTACTCAGACCATCCTGTATCCATACAGCCATTCTGTTTTTCACTTTCAGTACAGTATTCAATAAATTACATGAGATATTCACCACTTTATTGTATAGTAGGCTTTGTGTGAGAGATTTTGCCCAGCTGTAGATTAATGTAAGCGTTCTGAGCACATTTAAAGTAGGGTAGGCTAAGCTATGATGTTCAGTAGGTTCAGGGTATTAAATGTACTTTCAACTTACAATATTTTCAATTTACAATGGGCTTATCAGAACATAACCCCATCATAAGCCAGCGAGCCCTCTTGCTCAACTGTAGACCCCAATAGTTAAAACCATAAATAGACAAGACCACTTAACTCATGCTCTAACTGAAACCCATTGTTCTTATTTTTATAGCACTTTCTTGAGGCATTGATGAAGATGTTTGGCAATGATGGGAACATTCCACTCGCCAGGCCAGAAAAGCCCTGATAACAACAGAATGCCTAGAAGACCACACCCTTTCCTGCCCATGATCACATGCAGAACATATATCAACTCCAATCCATGGTCACAGGCTCCCTGCCTGCTTTCTTGCATGTACCCCACTGAACCTCTCCCTATAAAAAATTCATCTTGCAGGTAAAAAAGTCGATTGTTAAGGTTTGAGCTTGCCACTTCACCAGCTGCCAGCACCCAAAATAAATGTCTCCCTTTCTCTTTCCCAAACCCTAGTCTCCTGAGCGATTGGCTTCTCCTGCAACCAGTTAGTTTATCCAAGTTTTTTCAGCAACAGTGTTGGCAAACCCTGTCAGGAGCTATGCTTTAGATTTATCCAGCCCCCTGGAGAATCCCCAGGAGTGAGCAGCTGGCCACAACAGCGGGCCACGGCTTCCCTATTTGTTTCCTGAAGTACCGGTTATGATAGATCCGTAGCAGTAAATCTGTACATATTTTCTATTAGCTCACACCTCTGAGTGAGAGGACTGAGCTTTCTGACCAGCTTTGCTTTAGAGTGGGTGACCTGTTAGAGAATCAGCCCACCCATCCTGCTGGCTACCAAATACCACAAAGTTAATCAATAGATCTAAACATGTAACTGCAGGTGAACGTTGAGTGTCAGAAGGCACAATGTAAACATGCAGAAATTTCAAGTAGAGCCAGTAGACCAGATTGCAGAATGTAAGCATGAGGTGAGGCCAGACACTTGGTTCCCAGACCTGTTTTCAAAGCATAAGTAGAACTATAGCCGCTTTAGTTGCATTAACTTAGCTCCACATTCTGTTTTGTTCCCTACTTAAATTCTGTTTTATGCACATCTCATTAATCATTAACTTTGACTTTTCCACTCCAACTCCCTGCTTGCCCACTGATTACAGAAATCTAATGGGGACCAAACAGTAACATTTGTCTTGAAATTATCTGAAATAACTGATCATACCAGGTCCCAAACGGCACCTCATTGTCTAGAAGAATGCATACCTCCAGACTTTTTCAAGGTCCTCTCCCACAAAGATTTCAAGAAACACTTCACCCTCCTCTCATGTATTCACCTCCTTCCCCAAACATATATAAGCTGTCCCTACATTCAACATGGCAAGGCAGCTTTGAGAATAATCCCCTGCCTTTTTGCTAGGCTGCCTTTCCAATAATAAAGCTTTCTTTGTTTCAAAAACCAGTGTCTCAGACACTGGCTTACTGCACATCAGATGCACAAACAAGTTTAAATACAGTAACAAACCATGCATCAATTAAAATGTAAGCCTTCTCCACCTAAAAGGAAATTTTCTCTCATTTTACTTGATTGTCTTGTGGCACTGGATACCATTGGTCACTCCAAGTTTCTTGATATTTTTTTCTTAGCTTCTGTGACTCTACCTTCTCCTAGTTTTCCTCCAATGGTTCTGATATGGTATACTCAGTTTCCTGCGTGGACTACTTAACCTGAAAATAAAGAGCCACAATAAGGCAAACAAGTGATTATTTCCAGTCAAAGAATTGCAATTTAGGGAACACAGATAAATTCGGACTGACCCAAGTTGTAGCCCACTTGTAGGGTGAAAGCAAGGGGGTTTTATGAGGAAAGGAAGAGCAGAAGAATTTCCTATCCCCTTCAAGGTCTTTCTAGCTGGAGTAAGCATCAAATTGAGATGGCACAGATTAACAGCAGAAAATCAAATTTAATTTTGTATATACAGGGAATCCACACAAACATGGAAGTCCAAAGACAGTGAAGCAATATGAAGCTTATATGAGCTAAGGAGAAGGGTAGGGGTCTAAAGATACACAAAGGAGAAGGACAATTGCCTGGAAGGTGAGAGGAGATGTTTGGAAAACAAAGTTTGCCCTATTATGCAGATAAGTTTCTTACGTAAAGAGGGATCTCTGTTAATAGCTCTCTTCCTGGTACAAGCAGACAGTTGAAGGGGAGGTAAAGAGCTTTTCCCGAATCTTCTGGGTTTTGCTTGTTTTTAACTCAAAATAATGTTCATGCTGAAGTGACCCATCTTGGGGTGACTTACCCTTGGGGTCGTTTCTACATAACTAATTGTGAACTGCGACACCAGAATTCTTTAGAATGGAAAGTTTATGAATATATTCCATAATTTCTAGAAACATGCTTTTTCATAGTATGATGTTTTCATAAAGCATAAGACATGTTTACTAACAGACACAAATTTATCTTTAGTTTCTTTGTAATAAAAGTAGATAAACCTATGTTCAGTACTTCACATTTCATTATTTTTTCTTATTTGAAAATGATCTAGATATTTAATGAATATAACTTTACTCATTATTTAAGTTAACAAAACTTTAAAGTGTCAGGTTACCAAAGATTTTGGAAACTATTTAAAAGTTTGCCTACAAACCCTTTTATCTTATTTATATCCATTTAATTTACTTGTTCTCAACAATTATGCTTACACTACCTGTAAAACCTCATGAGGCATTAGACAAAATTAATCATTATTCTTTTTTTTCTGACAAATTTTACAACAAAAATAACACGAACTTATTTGACTTTTAGTAAATAAAAGCAGAATAAAAGTTTTATATTTAATGCTGATAACTCTAAAGACATGTCTATTTTAATTAAGCCAACAATCTTAAACTAGCTTTAATATTGAATATTTTCCCTTGATTATGGGAACTTGAAAAACATTTGGGTTAGTTTCTTTCTGAGTTTTAGAATATCCAATTCTTACAAGTACTTACCTTCAAACCAATTAAATAGAGCTCTTTTACAAATTAATGTTAGTAATGCCAGATGTAGAGAAAATATTTCACATATACAACGTATTTGGATATCCATCCAAATACACAAATAAAGTGCAAACAAAATCTTATACTATATAATGCAAACAAGATGCAAACAAAATCATACTGGTTTTACTAATGTTTGTGGAGAGGAGAGTAAAGATCCAATTTCCAAATACTCACTTTTTCTCTCCCCTAATGAAAACACTTCTCCCTAAAATTTGCATTTCAAAGAATGGCTCTCACGTTCTACCTACATGCTGCAGAAGTGAGCACTCTCAGGTCCTAGCTAATACACCGTAGAAAATTTACAACATAAAGACATAGATGGAGTATCTAAGTTTTCTCCAAGGTGGATGCTTGAAGCATATCTGTCTGATGGAGATGCTAAAGTCTGGGCACAAGAGACATTTTATCAGTTTGTATTTTTAAAAGGTCTCTTCCCTCCTCCTTTTTTTTTTTCCTGCAGTTTCAGGAAATTATGGACTGTATTTACATTTTATTTTATTTTTTTTTATTCTTTTTTCAACGTTTTTAATTTATTTTTGGGACAGAGAGAGACAGAGGATGAACGGGGGAGGGGCAGAGAGAGAGGGAGACACAGAATCGGAAACAGGCTCCAGGCTCCAAGCCATCAGCCCAGAGCCTGACGCTGGGCTCGAACTCACGGACCAAGAGATCGTGACCTGGCTGAAGTCGGACGCTTAACCGACTGCGCCACCCAGGCGCCCCAAGTATTTACATTTTAAAGACAAGATAAGAGTTATAATTTCAAGGGATAGAGGAATAATTTAAAATCTTTTTTTTTTTTTTGGCAAGTATAGGACAATTTTATCCCATTATATTGATCTTTTATAATATCCACAAACATTTTGAGAGGAATAGGCAATGTTTGGGGATTAGTAAAAATAGGTGAGCTTTGACTTGTTTCTAGCACTGCATTTTTGGTTTTGTAGAAATTCATAAGGCAAGAACATTTCTAATTCCCCAAATAACTAGAATTATAGCCTGAATAGCAAGGAATTGGCCTTCCTCCTTTTTAAACTATATTTGCTCTTTTTTTAATCTAAGAGAGTTTTTAACTAAAGTGGGATTCAAAAGATTTATCTTTGTAAAGTCTATGTGAAACATTTTAACAAAAGCCTTTTTTCTGGGTGCACAATTCCTTGGCTTCTATTAGCCCCTGAATATATGTCTTTTGAAGATCATTTCTAGGAGGGCCTAAGAGAAATTTAAGTGTTCAACCTATGCCCACCAATCTTGCAGCTTTGGTTTCCAAGATGTCCCTTAGCAACAACCTGCAAGCCATAGCAAAGTTTCTTGAAACAGAATCTGGTCTGATAAGAATTGTGAATTCACCAGTCTGTGGGACCAGCTCGAACAGCAGGATTATAGACTTATGCCTGCATTCTGTCCTTCATATGACATAAGACACAAAAGACACAAAGAAAAACAAAGACCATCTCTGGGAGGAAATGGATCAATAGCCAAAGAGTGCTCTACCAAATTCTATCAATGAATCACTAAGTGCAAGGAACTGGTTCCAAAAATATTTTCTCCTGCTAACATAAATTTAGAAAGAGAGAAAAAGGACTCTACCACTGTCTATCAGATTCCATAGATAGAGATTCCAGGAGACCGACATGGTAAGAAATCTTATCTTCTGCCAGCTGTTTGTCAGATATCTCTCATCTACAGCTGTGTCTAGGGTGAGTGGTATCCAACAAGTTAAAGAAAGTATTTTGCCACCAGCTATACCAACTGTTGGGCAGCAAGAATTTCCTGTCCATTTCAAGGTCCTTCTAGCTGGAATAAGAATCAAGTTGACATGAGACAGATTAACCAGGTCAAACCAAACTTAATTTCTTACATACAAGGAATCCACACAGACATGTAAATTCCAAAGACAGGCAGAATGAGATATATATGTCATCCTGAACTAAGGAGAAGGGCATAGGGGTCTGGGACTTTAAAAAGAAGGAATGTAACTCATAAGAAGATGAAAAAAATAAGTATTTAGGGGCACCTGGGTAACTCAGTCGGTTAAGTGTCAGACTTCAGGTCAGGTCATGATGTCACGGTTCATGAGTTCAAGCTCCACATCGGGCTTCGTGCTGACAGCTCAGAGCCTGGAGCCTGCTTCAGATTCTGTGTCTCCCTCTCTCTCTGCCCCTCCTCTGCTCTCTCTCTCTCTCTCTCTCTCTCAAAAATAAAATAAAACATTAAAAATTAAAAAAAAATAAAAAGAATAAATGTTTGGCAAACAAATGTTTGCTGTACCACTCAGAAAAAAAGGGACATAGATGACTTTAATCAAAGAGGTCTAGCTAGGTTCCTCCCTGGCCACCATACCTAATTCATAGTATAATGCAGTTGTCTATGTTGATAGTTCTCCCTAGAGCAGATTCTCTATCTAAATTATTTTTAGACAGTTTGGGGAGAGGTAGAGAGCTTTTCATGATCTACTGTTTGGTTGCTTTTTAACTCAAAATAATCTTCATGCCAAAGTAGGTCCATCTTGGCACAGCCTGCCCTTGACCCCTACAGGGTAGAGGGAAAATTATTTTTCCACCTCTACACATATCAGTTAAAGCCCTTCAGAATATGATTTCTGATTGCCTCTCTGGATCCTACCATTGAAAATGCTTTGCAGTGATCCAGATGTTCTTTACTTATTACAAGTACGGCCCTTCCTGGGGCACCTGGATGGCTTATTCAGTTGAGTGTCTGACTCTTGAGTTTGGCTCAGGTCACGATCTCACGGTTCATGGGTTTGAACCCATATCAGGCTCTGCATTGGCAGTGCAGAGCCTACTTAGGATTCCCTCTCTCTCCCTCTCTCTCTCTCTCTACCCCTCCCCTGCTCAATGCATACACACTCCTTCTCTCTTTCAATAGAAATACATAAATAAACTTAAAAAAAAAAAACAATTAAGACCCTTCCTTTTCTGATTCCATTTGTGTCTTTTGGCTCAACACTCATCAAGAGGTGAACCCAGCTTTGGGTGTTCCAGGTGGGGGAAAGACAGTAAGGTATACCCTAAACTAAGAAGGCTCTTTGAGGCTGGAAAACAAAGCAGTCAACTCCAAACAGTTTACACAGACTTTTATTCAGGGTAACTTATTAACAGGGGGTGGATCGGGTGGAGAATGATCCATGGCAACTGCATAGTTACTCTCCACAAAGTCCAGACCTTAGTCTACAGACTGTATAGAGTGAAAGACACTTGGGGAGGGGCACTGTAGTGAAACAAAAGGATTCACACACACTTCAAAGGGCTTGTATGCACCCAACTGACAGCTAACCCTTAATTAGATCTTGTGGCATACTTGTGCATCAGGAAGGAGAGAGACTATGGTATCTCTAACAAATTCATGGGAGGCCACAACAAGCTTCTCCCCAATCCTGGCTTTGGCGGGCATTTCTAAAGTATGTATATTAATCTCCAAGAGGCCTGGAACATGTTGCCCCAAGAGAGGTCATGGTGCAAATATAAACAAGATGGAGGGCCAAGGATGGAGTCAGCATTATTAGCACTCCCACAGTAGGTATGTGTGTGTCCATTAATAACATACCTGTGCCCACCTCTGCCTCTGTTGTGTTGGCCCAGTTTGCATGTCGGCTTTTGTCTTTTTGTCTCTCTCTTATTCTATAGAAACACTGAGGACCTACCACAGTATGCTTT